ATTTCTCCTTTGGGCGAAAAGGTAATGACCTTTGTTGATCTTTCTTGGTGGGTCTAACAGTATCAGTCTGATACAGTGTAGCTGCTTTATTGGAGATGCGTTTTGCCTGTGACTTCATCTGCAGCCATGCAGACAGATCAGGTAATGTATAAGTGCGGTCTGTGCCAGTTTGTAGAATACCTCGGCTGAAACAGTACTCAACGAACCCATCGCGATATGATGGTGGCATCTTGCTTAACAAGCGATCGACGTGGGAACCACAGCGCAGCTCATATCCGTTTGGGCCCTCCAACGTTCTAAGCATCCCTACTAATGTTTGGATAGATAGGGAAAAAGAATCAAAAGCCTCTGCATCACCAAACTTGACTAATGGTGCATTCAGTATGGCACCTAATTCGGACTGGACCAGTTGACGTGGTTGCCCATATTTGTCCTGCAGCGCCTGTAAGGAGGTTGTGTATGGCCTGGGGTCGTGCATGTATGCTTTGGCCAACTGAAGAGCACTGGGGAGTTTTAAGTGACTTAAAAGGACCTGGTATTTGTAATGTTCACTTAAATGCTGTTGGTTATTCATTACATTGTCTAAGGCCATTTTCAGTAGTGCAAAGTCACTTTCCCGGCCAGTGTCGAAGTATGGGATAGCTGGCTTTGGGACACCATAAGCTGAGGCAGCTAACATTTCCAGACCAGATGGTTGGGCTGGGGAAGGGTACAATACTGCTCGACTATGATAAGCGTCAGGTGGGGGAACAGGGTGCGATAATGCTGTCAAATGAGGGCTAGGATTCATGGCTTGATAAGTCTGAGTATGTAAGGGAGCCCCTAATGTTACAGGAACTGTAGGTGGAACTATAGGCAGGACACTGACAGAGGGTGTCTGACTATAAGTGACAGAGGTATCTGAGTAATGGTGCGGCCTGGCCACCGCAGCCGGGTTAAACGTTAGGGGAACATCATTATCTGGCCTAAACATTAAAGTGGGCTGTGCTGCAACTAACGAAGCAGATGACCTTATAACCATGTTGGGTTGGGTTACTTCAGCAGCTGAGGTGACAGAACCGAATGGGGGTTCAGCTACTGAAGCAGTAATGTGTACAGCGGGTGAGTCAGGGTGAGGCATAACTGATGACGCAGTGGTAAAATTAACAGGGCAAGGGGTAGAATGACGAGGCATTAATTCAACTGATGACTTAAAATCATTGGTAACAGCGACTATGTGTTGTTTGCTTACCTCTGACAATGGGTCAACAACATGGCTGAACAGTGAACCAGAAACATTAACCTCTTGAGATTCCTGTTTAATAAGTCCACAAACATATTTAGCAACCTCAAGCTCATTTCGTACCTTTTTAAGGCGCCGTCGGGTCTCTACCTGCTTAGCTAGCAACTCTCTAGCCTTAGTGGCTTGTTCCTGTCTATACTGCGCTTCTCTAGCCTGAGCATCAAGTCTCTCACACTCTTTATCTACAATGGCATCCTCTTCGATCTGCTGTTGAAGTTCTTCCAAGTCCAGAGTCTTTAGCCTTTCCTCCAACATTGCAGCGTGAAGATCGGAGAGTCCATGTTTGGGAGATCTGCGTTGTGCTTGGCGACTGGATCTGGATGAAGTACTGGAAACCGTACCAGAAGAAATGGATCTAGACGGATGTCTTGATGACCTGGATGGTCTCTGTGAAGATGAATCAGCAGGAAGTGGGTCCGGGTGCAGGTTAGGCGGGAGCTGGACATCATAATCGGCCAGATGAGCAGGAAGGTGTCTCTCTCTTGGAGGGCGAGGTCGGACGACGGGCTCAGTTGCACTGGGATTTTCAGAATCCATCTTGAGGCAATCCGGCTCGAAGGACCATATACGAGCGTATGGGACGCTCAAGGGGTTCAGAATTAATGCAGTCAAGATGGTGGTGTGTAGTTTCCGGTAAAAGAAACACCCGATGGAATCCCAGTTTAACTTATTTATTCAAGGGAAGTTTGTATATGTTACTTCACAAATGTGTGGTCTGTAATAAACAAAATAGAAACAAAGAAAAACAATTGTAATTATATCAGTAAATGATATAAACATTCAGGTATTAAATAATATATAAATGAACATACATGGGTTAACTGCGTGCTGATTATAAATAAAATAAAGTAAACAATGACACGCATATTGCACGATCGTTGCATATGCTCAATATTAGAGCAGCGGTAAACATACAACATGTCATCAAATTCGACATTTTCAAACAATATTGAACAAACAAATACTGATCTGTAACTAGGAAGAGACTATAATATCTTATAACCTAATATAATGACAATCATTTTTGAGCTCAAAGTCTAATAGGAAAAACGGTTCGGTTTCACTTTGTGACGCAGTTTAAATTGCATTCATTTTACGAGCAAATCTCGACATTCAGAACAATAATATTAACGCCAAAGGGAAAAAATATATATGAAAACTCACCCGTAATCATTTACGCACTGAGAAAGAACATATATATCGCTGAATAACAGGCCAGCCGGCCTAATTTGTAACTCAGCTGCCGATTTTGCATGTCTACACCTGGCTGAGCGCTGTATAATACCAGTCACTCAGGGGGCGTGGTTAGGGCTTTCTCACAACGACAGATGGGCTGACGACGAGGTTCAGGTTTTATTAAGCTTAAACTCAGAGGATGAAATGCAGCGGGAACTGTAAAGTAGCACAGTCCTACGTCACCGGACTAATTTGTCTAATCTTCACGGTACTTTAGACTACGGTGGAAACGCAGACGGCAACAGGTCTGGGGTAAAAAAAAAAATTCCTGGGACAAATTGTTCCGGGTAATTTCAGTGGAAACGGGGCTATTGTTTCAGCACCTCTCTCTTCCCAGTCTGTCAGTAACTCTGTTAAGTTCCTGTTTCTATGAAGCCCCTCCTTCTGAAAATCGCAGTGTGTTCTGATTGGTCGGCTGGACCAGTGTGTTGTGATTGGTCAACAGCTTTGAGCGTGTTTCAGAAATGTCCCGCCCCTTAACATAACCACGAGGTTTAACACGCTACTTCAAAGCCCCTAAAAGGGACAAGGTGGTGGAAAAAAAACATGGGAGGAAAAATTATGTCAATGCTTTTGAGCGAACGCAAAACTTTTGTGAGAAGTATATCTCATAAGCATACCCCCCCCCCCCCCCCCCCCCCCCCCCATGTCCTTAGGGGCTCCGTACACTACTAACTTAACCAGGCCTCGGCACATTTTTTTTGTTTTGTTTGCATATGCCTGGGACGAAAATGATTCAAATGAGGAATATAGGGATGTGTACTTTCTCGGAAGAAAACTCAAGACTACAACAGAGGTGTTTCAGGGAGTTCAGAAACTTATTGATATAGAAAAAAACTCCCTTTGGAGTGACTTTGTCCTTTGTAACTTTAAATACCCTTTTCATGCTAAAACAGCAACAGTACACACAAAAGAAAGTTGAAAATGTAAAAAAAAAAAAAAAGCATTATAGGTCATCTTTAAAGCTATGGCACTTTGCAAAAACGTTCTATCTGGTTTTATATGAGAGGTTTTATTAATTTCTAAAGCCAGATACAAGTTACTATGTTATTAGCCAAATGCTACTTTGTAACTTGTGAAAATTTTTTAAAGGGTGTGGTAGGTGTTAGTCTCTGAACAGAAACTAGAGCACATGTAGACATACACGATAGAAGACTGAACAGTTACTGTATGCAGTCTTTGGAGACTGTGAAAGGCAAGGCTGAATGAATTTATAACACTGGAAAATCATTTTATAACATAATTAAAAAATTTAATGATCAAACCCCCCATACCCTCCCCCCCCCCCCCCCCATTTTATAATTTTTAGTTTGCATTGTTTACAGATAGCATCATGTGAAGCCAATAACAAAAAAAAAAGGCTTACAAATGAAAGACTTATATATATTTTATAAATAAATCTCACAAAACAAACGATTCCTTTTAGATTTGAGCCTGTATCTAGAAGATGGCAGTGATGTGCTGTATAGGTGAAATTCTTTGGCTTGTGGGAGTGGGAATTCCTCTATGGTGAGCTGATAAATGAAGTCTGAGAGACGCCTGTATACAGTATACAGATCATGACCTTGCTGCTTTCTGAACCAACAGAGCAGCCCTTCCTTACCATTCGTCCAGCTCCTCCACACTGTCTGTTGTGCCACACATCTCATGTGCTCAAAACTAATTTTACAAACATAGAAACCACCCATATCCTAACTTCTCTAAAAGTTCTCTAGTACTCTAAAAGTTCAAACAAAAAGAGCAGGGTCACAAGGTGAGGGACGTAGAGCTAAAGTTGCTCAGTGTGTGTTTGAGAGCCAACTTGACGTTCATGTTAAGACTTTACAATAAAACACGCTATGACCTAACAATGAGCAATATATATATTTAAAGCATTTATTAATCTTTCTTAACATTTAGTATAAATCTAATTGTTCATTGTTAGTTTGCAGGGCATGTTAACCAATTCAACTTTGGATTTAAAAAAATGTATTAGTAAATGTTGAAATGACCATAGACTAAGATTAATAAATGCAGTAGAAGCATGGTTAATTGTTAGTTCATGTTAAGTAATAATGTTAAGTAACTAATGTTGAAAACTGAAACCTTATTGTAAAGTGTTACAATTTTAAAACATGCTGATTGTTTGACCGATTGATCAATTTTATGAATTGAGACCAACCAACTAATAACACAAATCGTCACAGAATTCATCAAATCCATTGCTAATACATGGTGATATTTGTGGATACTAGTAATCCAAGTAATGACGCTCAGGAATAAATTACATTTTAAAATGTATAAGGAAGCAGTTATTTTAAATTGTAATATTATTTCACAACATTTGTTTTTACTACATTTTTTAAATGATGAGCATACGATATGTTTTTTTCTGAAAACATTAAAACATCTTAATTATTCCAAACTTTTGACCAGTAGTATAGATGATTGTGCTGTGAAAATGTACTAAATATGAATGAGCAGCACACTGTCTCCTTTAAAGGGCCGTGGCATGACTGTCATCACGTGCTGGAGTCCGGAGAGAAGAGCAGCGGCATCTACCTGCTGCGACCACGCAACACTAACCGTCTGCTGCAGGCCTGGTGTGACCAGAGCAGAGCTCAAGGTGGCTGGACCGTCATCCAGAGGAGACAGGATGGCTCGGTCAACTTCTTCAGAACCTGGGATCAGTACAAGGTGCATGAAACAAAACACTTGGCATACATATACTGTATAGTAGGAAAGAATTCATATTCAGATGCAGCCACAGTACCAGCGTTGTGTTTCTGAATGAATCGTTTGAGTGAATAATACAATGACTCGCGTATCAAGACAATAAATAGTTTAGTTCCTGAATTAATCAGTGTGTTTAAAGGGACACTTCACCCTTTTGCATTAAGCTTTGTATCTTTAGAAACCCAGTCATATTTTTGAATGGTCATGATTTATTCCCTTATTTTCCCCTGAGATGAGAGAAAGAAGGATTTAAGTGTTCCACTTCCTGCTTTTTATGACGTAAAAATCGTCATTTTGCGTCATAAAAAACAGGAAGTCCCGTTTCTTTGTATAAGGGTTGAGACTACAAACACAAGCTCATCATTTATTCAGGGTGTGGAACCCACTCACGCTACAGACCTATTACAGATCAGTGGGTGGGACTTCACTTGCAGATACAAAAAGCAATATCAGCCATCTTGTTTGGAAGTTAAGCTAACGCTAACAAGCGCTGTGGAGATAGGAAGTTACGACAATGACGGAAGAAACTAAACATATGGAAGAAGAGGATTTTGAAATTCTGCTGCTCGAATCCGATGTTCGTGGCTATCTTTACGAGCCGCAATATAGTGAAGAACAGCCGAGGCTGATGGAGGAACAGGAGGTGGACGAGGAGCCCGGACTGGCTCGAGCTGGGCGGACTGCTGGTGCCTGTGCTCTCGCTGTGCGCTACGGACACAGAATCCGTCGTATTTCAACGATAGCAATTTCTCCTGGACGAAATCTCAGAATCAGACGAGCACACGGACGTTTGTGTTGTGATGTGAACCATCCTAGTTTCGCACCGCATATGTTCTGACTGAACATCCAGGTATCACGCAATAATTCACCATATAGAAAGATATACAAACGAGGAGTAATTCACAAATGAGTTTGCCAATGTTACGGGGTTCGTTGTTGTGGGAAGAAGGAGGCGGGAATCGGCGAACATTTAAACATTTTAATAGTAAAATAAACAAATACAAAAGTATAAGCCAGCAGCCACACGCAACAGAAACAAAACACAACATAAAATCAGGCCTGTTCCTCACTCGATCTGCCCTGTCGTCGCTCCTCGTTTTATGCGTCCGCTCCTCCGTGAGAGATGCGAGAGAGACCGGTGCGTCTCACAGGTGTCGTTGATTATCACTCACGCCACCGGCCTCACGTCCCTCGTCCTGCTCGCCACAGCCAACTAACTGGAAATTTTGTGTGAAATGAATTTCTAACTCTGGTGGCAGCTAACGTTAGCCTTGTAGACGAAAGAGTGATTTCTCTGATGTTTGCGCTGTTCTGGATTAGTGGGAGTGGCTTGCGGAGCTGTGTAATGTGGTGCATTCTGGTAGTTGTTGTCTTACATACAAATGCACCCTAAAGTTATTTTCTGTCTTTTCTCGGTCAAGAGGGCACCAAATTAAAAAATTATTTTACATTTCAACTACATATATGACCCACTTTCAATAAAGATTAATGTTGAAATGGGTGAAGTGTTCCTTTAAAATTTTGAATGAATTAAGCCCCGTTCACACTACACGCGACCAAGCGACGCGATACCATTCATTTCAATGGTGAGCGGGCGACTTCCGGCGACACGCGCGACAGCGACCGTTGGCGACTAGATGGGGCGTGTCTGGCGACGCGACAAAGTTGAGAAATTTTTAACTTTATGCAAATGAAGAGCGATTTTCGCGAGCGACAACCAATAGGAGTGGAGCGCACGTGATCCTTCTCCTCAGCCCCTGGGCCTGCAGTGATAGCGGCAAGAAAGCTGATTCGCTGTCTTTTGGATGTCATACTAGTCAACCAGTAGTGGGAACGCCCACTAGCGACCTCATCGCCAGCAACTGGCGACTTGCAGCGAAAAAGTCGCGTGTAGTGTGAACGGGGCTTTAATGGTTCACTCATAAAGACAGCTACAGGTATTTGTCGCCATCTACTTGATGCTCGGAGTTGACAGATATATTTTTTTAATCTATAGTACGTACTGTGATTCCATCCATTTGGAGGAGATCAGTCATGTTTGATGTTTTGAGTCGATTTTTGAACACATATTGTTTTCATTTGTCATGTGTCTCCTAGCAACAAGCCACATGTTTCTGCATGAGTTTGTTGTGTTCAGAACAAAGACTATGGAATAACACAAGACGCGTCACTCGTATTGTTTTGAATAGGGGAAAAAGCAATGCTTGATGATTTGATGTTTCCCCATTCAAAGAGATAGGATCTGCATTTGCATGACTGAGAGGCGTTTCAAAGATGTGAAATGACTTGTCTTGAAGGGACTTAGGTTCAGAATGACTTTCAGTTTGGTAGTGTGTGATTCTCAGTCGGCAAGTGTATGATGTCCATTTTTTCTCTGTTACTATTTACAAAGTCGGCAAGTGTATGATGTTTTAAAATCTGTTCACATTTTAAGTTACAAGTTGTGTAACAATGGGTAACAATGGTCTATACTGTTTTAGGGTACATTTACACGACAACGATGTACTAAAAACAGAAAAGGTTTTCCTTTGCGTTTTTCGCAGACAGAAGTCAAAACGATCCCCGTTCACACGGATCCGTGAAAACGACTAAACGCACTGTATTATTCATGCCAGGCCAGTAGTTGGCGATGTCGCTTTGTAAAGAGACACTACATGTAATATGAATGCACATTATTTTCACAAATTCACATTTTGTGTAGTTTATACAAAATGGTTTTCAAAAAACGTGCACTTTGAAACCCATTTTCAAAAGTTTGAGTTTTCAGGCCCCCAAAATGCTGTTTTCGTGTAAATGAATGGACAAAACGTATATATTTTATTCCATTTTTAGTTGAAAACGGCTTGTGTAAATGGCCCCTTAGTCAATGGCCCTACGCAACTGATGGTCTCAACCCTTACGTTCCACACGGTGCCATAATGCCACATAAGTGGCAAAACCGGGTCCATGGGGGGCGCTCATGAGCAAAAAATCTGAATTTTTTAATGCACACAATGTACTTTTTAATGCAAAATTAAATGCATGACTATTTCCTATACACAGCAAGGCTTTGGGAATCTGGATGGAGAATACTGGCTGGGTTTGGAGCACCTGTACTGGCTCACCTCTCAGGCCAAGTACAAGCTGCGAGTAGCTATGGAAGACTGGCAAGGACGACAGGTGTTTGCGGAGTACGACAGCTTCCAGGTGGAAGCGGAGACCGACTGGTATCGTCTACGATTAGGCAGTTACCAAGGCAGTGCAGGAGACTCCCTCTCATGGCACAACAATAAAGCGTTCACTACTCTGGACCGCGATAAGGATGCCTACTCGGGTGATCAGTCGATTTTTTTTTTTTTTTTTTGCCTCTTTTCTGTCCTTAAAACTATTTTAAAAGCCACATTCTCTGTCCTCCATAGGTAACTGCGCTCATTACCAGAAGGGCGGTTGGTGGTACCACATGTGTGCCCACTCAAACCTGAACGGTGTGTGGTACAGAGGCGGCCATTACAGAAGTCGATACCAGGATGGCGTTTACTGGGCGGAGTTCCACGGAGGCTCGTACGCCCTAAAGAAAGTGGCCATGATGATCAAACCTGCCTAAGCTGAACTGAAACAACTCAGATGACAGAAAGAGTGCTACTACCTTTTCACAAAGATGTGACAATGAGCACTAAATGAGCTTCAGGTTATTTCATTGCTGATGTAGTCTTAATGTTTCTTAATGTTGTTAGAACAAAGACATGATTTGAATTTTGTCTGATGCAGTTTTGTATTCTGGAATATTTGCATTAGACTGAATTGTGTTTAAACTGTTAAATATAAAAAATGTCTTATTTTTGTATAATTGCATATAAAATGTAAATATTTTTAGTCACTACCAGAATATCATCCAAACTTCTATTTTTTTCTTTATTCCTTGAAATAAAAGTAAGACAATATTACAGTATTCATTTTTAAAACTTTTATACATTTTTAATTTCTTTTTGCGTCAAAGTATTTTTTTTAAAAAACATTGCCTCACACTTGGGGGTTTCCTCTTTTAAAATGTGAGTCTGAGCAGGATTTCCTGTTCAATTGCCTGCTTAGATGCTTCACACCATGCTTTTGACAGTTAGAAGAAAATAGATCCTTTTCAACGGCTATCATCCATCTCTGGCATTACCGCTTCATCACTGCCAATCATTTGTTTGTGCCGACAATGCTTCTGCTTCAACGGTTGATAGGTCTCTTGCTGATCATGACCTTGGTTCATGGCGGTAAGTTCTCACCATTTTGTCTTTCTGTGGTTTCAGTCATGTCTTTAAGCATTGTCATGGCCAAAGAGTTCATAATGTTTGTAACCCTGTTTCTTTCATGTCATTGTAGCCCTATTTCTACTAAAACCAAATCTGTTTTTCTTGAGATGGTCTCATAGATGATGTTGTTAGATCTGCATGTTCTTTTAAATATAAAAGCTATGGAACTTTTCAAAGTGTTCCATCTGATTTTATCTAAAATATGATAATTTCTAAAGCCAGACACAAGTACCTTTTTTTACTATCCAAAAGCTTCTTTGTAACTTTTCAACGATTTGGAAAGGTTTTCCACTTGTTAAGTCTCTGAACAGAAACTAAAGCACATGCCGACAGTTCTTCAAGTAGGTTTCACACTTCTAACGCCCAAAAGTTAACACACTTTGACCTTGGTTTTTCTTCGGTACTCAGGGTGGGAACATATGAATGAGATCATTTCATGAACTTATAGAAACTGAATATTTTTTTTAGATTGATACAGTAACTATGGTCTTTTGAATAATGTTTATGGCATCTTTTAAATGCATTCAAAAGGTTGGTAGGTGGTTGTTTCCCAGCTTATTACAAAAAATAGCACACCTCTGCTCAACAAGCCACATGATTTGTCAATAATGTTAGCTGGATGTTAATATCTCTGAACTGCAGGGTCAGTTACCTACCAAGGAGTAAGATCTAGAGTAATGGGTGGTTTTTCCCTAGCCATGAGCAAAAGAAAAGCTAATGCTTGCCTTAACAACCACTATAAACACACCAAACCACTGCAGTCAAAATGACTCATCTCATCACAGACGAAATAAAGTCATACCGATTTAGAATGACACGAGGTGTATATACTGTTACTGTAAATGCTATTCTTCTCTTTGGGTAAATACAAGCCACACAATTCATGAAATGTGAATGCTATAAATTCTTTTTTTTCTTTTTCTTTTTTTTCAAGTCATGCAAAAATATTTATTTTCTGGAATTCACTCAGGACTGTGGAAATCAATACCTCTGAAATCTGTTCCACAGAGACTCCAGACAGTGTGTCCATCAGCACTGTGAATCACACCGGACCAATGATGGAGGGAAACCAGTATGAGCTCCAGTGTGACGTTCTCAATGTGGCTCCTGTTCAGAATCTCACTGTCAACTGGTACAAAGGACAGACTCTGGTGGATCAAACCATCTTCACTGACACCATCATAACTCCAGTCAGTAAAACATCTAAACTCCTGATCCGTCCAGACAGAGCTGATGATGGAGCTCAGTACTGGTGTGAAGCAAAGCTGGAACTGGGAGAAGAAGGACCTCAACCTCCTCCAACAGCCCCGTCAAAACATCTCAACATTACTGTTTATTGTAAGTAAGATCCATCAGCTTCTATCATTAATCTTTTAAGAACATCTGATGTCCAAATTAGACTTTTGGTTGTAGCCCTTACCATGTGACACAGTGGCTGTATCCGAAATCGCAAACTTCCCTACAAGATAGTTGGTGAAAACAGTATATGACCCAAGAAGTATATGTCTGAATTCACAGTACTCACAAAAGTGTAGACAAAAAGTGTGCATACAATAGACACTTTACTATCCCATGAGGCCACAGGAGAGGATTTATGAATGGCAGTGAAGCGACGAAACTGACGCGGGTCACATGATGATGACAGCATGGCGAATGTAGTTCATCCAGATTACATTAATACTACACATTCATACTATAGAAAACTTTTTTGGCGGCCATGAAGTAATTACTTGCTCAAAATAAGTACCTACTCAAGAGACGAGAGTATGCGATTTCAGACACAGCCAGTGTGTAATTTCTAAATTTAGTTCGTTTTGTTACAAGATTAAAATTAATATGGATTAATATAAGAAATGTAAGATGCAGTGCAGATACAAAACCTCTTAAACTGTTTTTTGCTTCTTCCTGCAGTTAAACCGATCATCGATGAGACCAAACTACCCTCCAAAGTGCCTGTGTTTCCAGGATATCCAGGGGTGATTGTTTGTGAAGCCGAGGGAAACCCAAAACCAACAATCAGCTGGAGTGTCAACACAACTGATATAGTTTATAGTGAAACTCTTACTATAACAGAATCAACATCTGAGGATCTGCACTGCATTGCAAACAACTCTGTTAGCACCACCATCAGACGTGTAAAAGTGTCCATACAAGGTAACTATGCATTTTTGTATCATTTTCAATTCTAAGCGACAGTTTAATTGGCAATTTCAGTTTGCTTTAGTAATAGATACAGAAAGGAACTGTGGTTTTGTTTTTACACATTTTTTTGTGTGTTTGTCTGATATGAAAACATATATATTTATTTGAGAATGGTCCGAAACTACTCTTAAGCAATAGGGATAGACCAGATACATACTGTCACGAACTGCTCTGAGACACGAAGGTTGAGATCCAATTGCAGCTTTATAATGCCGAGTTCAGACTGCACGATTTTCAAAATAATCGGGTCACTGTTGTTTTCACACTGCATGACTATCTGGGGTAACATTCAGTTGCTGCTGTGTTCACACTGCACGATGGATCGGCGACAGGAGGTTTCACACTGCATGACTTTACAAAAGAAAGAATCGCCGGCAACTTCTGCCTGGTCCGCAAACTACGTTTCACAACCAAACAAACGCGAGAAGTGATAGGAAATAACGGAAGATCACGCGTGCGTGAGACCGGAGTTCTCGCGCGACACTGAATTTGTTATTAAAAATGATAGCCTACAAATTGTCTGTGCACTGATTTGTAGCGAAAATGAAAAAATAAATAAACAGTTTATGCAGGAAATGGTTGGGAAGACGAGGGGAGCAAGGACTGTGTTTTGCAAAGAGAGTTGGGGGTAAATAAATAATTTTGCAAATGTCCTGCTGTTGCTGCTGGTCATGAAAATGTTTGTACTTTGTTTCTGTTTGATATAATTGTAAATATAGGCCTATCTATTAAAATACTGATATTCTGGTCTATAACTCCTCCTCCTCCTCCCTGTATCTTGCTCTCTCATTGGCTGTCGGTCATCGCCGATGTAGTTTTCAGTCAGAACACATTCACACAGCAGGATTGTGAATCGCCGACAGGTCCAGATATTTAGCATGCCAAATATCTCACGGGCGTCGGCGACTCGTCGGTGATTCTCTCAGATCGCGTCTTTGCTCATTCTCACTGCGTGATTGTCACTCGCGTGAACGAGCACCGATTTGCCTGTGATTTCGGGCATTTGTCGGCGATTTCTCAAAACCTGTCGGCGAGCCAAAATCAGGGCTAAAATCGTGCAGTCTGAACTCGGCATTAAAGGGGCAATCCAGACACGTAATCCAATATACAGGCGATAGGTCAAAACACAGGTCGGCAGTCCAAACAAACAAACAAACAAAACTGGCAGGGGTCAGAGGCAAAAGAGTAATCCAAGGAACAGGCAAGAAATCCAAAAACCAAGAGACATAAAACCAGGGAAAACGCTCGGAAATGCAGTGCAACCACATACAAAACTTTGCAGTGAGTGAATGAGTGAACAAGGTTGAAATAGGCTGAGACTAACAGGGTAATGAGACACAGGTGAATGCAACCTGAACCAGTGATGATGAGTCCGGGCAGTGAGTTATGGGAAATGTAGTTTGTGAGGGAGTGATAATAGTCTGTGTGGAGTGCCCTCTGGTGGCTCTCAAGGGCACTCCAGCTGGTGACCGTTACACATACATTGGGCTATACAGGCATCTGGTTGCACGATGGTATTACATATGATTTTCTTTGGTTCTCACATCAGATGGCACATATCTGCCTTCAGTGCTTTGGATATTGAATACATTTGCTCTGTTTTTAACTTAATCACTGTATTAATTGAAAATAATATGAAAATGTATTTCTAATATTTGTATTATTTTATATAGGAATAAATGTGCAGGTGAATATTGTCTAGTAAAATGAAATCCCTTCAAAAATACATGTTTTTATTTAAAAAAAAAAAAAGTATTATTGAAACAAATTGTAGTACATCCGTTTAATTGAACTAAATTTCGTTGATTTTGACCGCAGAGGATCATATAGTGTCCCTTAAGTGAGGAATACCACATAGTTAAAAGACACGTTTTTTCATTCCACTGCCCTGCATCTCGTGTTTTTAAATGTGTTCAATGTAATTGGCTCCTAAAGCATTACTATTTTATTGCTCACACTTTGCTAAGGAAAGGTTTTTTTATCACTAGATAGATGAGTGAGTGCCCAAACTGATTATAAATGACGCTGTTATTCTGTGATAGAGATTCATTTGTTTTCAATCACATCTAATTCTATAGACGGCGACTGTCCAATTCAGCTCAACCCACAGAGAGTTATTGTGAAGTTCGGCAGTCCTGTTTCAGCCGACTGCAGCACTTCTGTCCCGCATAAAGAGATGGGATGGGAAGCCAGTGAGGGATCAGTGCCCATGAGCAAAGACAGTCTGATCACATGGAGAGTGTCAGAACTGAGAGAATGGGACATAGCACCATTCTGCTACATAAACCATAAGAAACAGTGTGAAATTACTCTCCCAGTGACTATTTACAGTGAGTTTCTCTGTTATTGATACTTTTATATTCTCAGAAATATCTACTATACATTGATGACTGCAGATATCAGTGTGTAAATCTTCCTCCACAGAGACTCCAGACAGTGTGTCCATCAGCACTGTGAATCACACCGGACCAATGATGGAGGGAAACCAGTATGAGCTCCAGTGTGACGTTCTCAATGTGGCTCCTGTTCAGAATCTCACTGTCAACTGGTACAAAGGACAAACTCTGGTGGATCAAACCATCTTCACTGGCACCATCAAGACTCCAGTCAGTAAAACATCTAAACTCCTGATCCGTCCAGACAGAGCTGATGATGGAGCTCAGTACTGGTGTGAAGCAAAGCTGGAACTGGGAGAAGAAGGACCTCAACCTCCTCCAACAGCCCCGTCAAAACATCTCAACATTACTGTTTATTGTAAGTAAGATCCATCAGCTTCTATCATTAATCTTTTAAGAACATCTGATGTCTAAATCAGACTTTTGGTTGTAGCCCTTACCATGTGACACAGTGGCTGTATCCGAAATCGCAAACTTCCCTACAAGATAGTTGGTGAAAACAGTATATGACCCAAGAAGTATATGTCTGAATTCACAGTACTCACAAAAGAGTAGACAAAAAGTGTGCATACAATAGACACTTTACTATCCCATGAGGCCACAGGAGAGGATTTATGAATGGCAGTGAAGCGACGAAACTGACGCGGGCCACATGATGATGACAGCATGGCGAATGTAGTTCATCCAGATTACATTAATACTACACATTCATACTATAGAAAAAACTTTTTTGGCGGCCATGAAGTAATTACTTGCTCAAAATAAGTACCTACTCAAGAGACTATGCGATTTCAGACACAGCCAGTGTAACTCTTTACATTTCTAAATTTAGTTAGTTTTGTTACAAGATTAAAATTAATATGGATTAACATAAGAAATTTAAGATGCAGCGCAGATAGAATACCTCTAAAAAAACTTTTTTTTTACTATCCAAAAGCTTCTTTGTAACTTTTCAACGATTTGGAAAGGTTTTCCACTTGTTAAGTCTCTGAACAGAAACTAAAGCACATGCCGACAGTTCTTCAAGTAGGTTTCACACTTCTAACGCCCAAAAGTTAACACACTTTGACCTTGGTTTTTCTTCTGTACTCAGGGTGGGAACATATGAATGAGATCATTTCATGAACTTTTATAGAAACTGAATTTTTTTTTTTTATTGATACAGTAACTGTGCCCGGTTGCATAAAGCACCTTAAGTGTAATTTTGCCCTTAAAGTCGCCCTTATGTTTCCCTTAAACCTAAGGGTGTTGCAGAAAAATACCCTTAAGTGTTACTTAACGGTTTTTTTAAGTGAAACGTCATAAACACTTAGAATTTCCCTTAAATGCTGTTTTTTCACTTAAGTAATCCGTAAGTGTTGCATAAAACCCCTTAACGGTAATTTCCCTAAGTATAACTTAAGGTTTGGAAATCGTAACCTTAAGAGTAACGCGGACAAAAATAAGACGACATGGCTGAATTTATGAAACCAGCTGAAGATCATAGGGAATAGGGAGAACCCTTTGGACCAATTTAGCCATGAAAAATTGTTGCAAGAATACCGATTTGATCGACACGCAATATTTGACATCGCTATCAAACTAGACGGCCGTCTGTCTGTCATTACACGCGACTCGCATGTAAACTATCACAACGTTAAGTCAGTGCGCGCACGGAGAGTGTGTGGCCGACAAAAAATTCACAGGAGAACGAGCTGATTCTGTGTTTTAAAAGGAATCATGACAGAAGAAAACAGGTATGCTATGAAAATATACTCAGCTGTATTTCGAGACACAGAGCCAGAAGTGCATTCACAAAACCTAAACAAATGCCAAACGAGGCTGAATCCAGCTTCTTATTCGCAGCTTCTTATTGACGCTATCCGTTCCACCTTAAATGACGCGAACTTCCGCGTTTGCTGGCTTCTTATTGACGCTCAACTTAGGGACCGTGCGGTTTTCTCTTTTTCGCGTTTTTAAAGGGATTGTGTTACTTTTGGGTCTATATTCCGAATAAAATGATAATAAAAAATGTTTAAAAGCAAATAACACTGATATATCAGCGAAAATGGACTGTACAAATATTAAAGCACATAAATATAATTAGGCTACATTATTCTTTAATTATTGTATGTCATCAGCTCAATTTAGGGACCGTGTGGTTTTTCACTTATTCACACTTATTAGAGACCCTGTTTGTATTGTTTATATTTTTCCAGAAAATAATAATAAAGTATTTTGAAAGGTAAATAAATAATAATAACACATAAATGTCTGTTAAAATATAATTAGGCCTACATTATTCTTTAATTATTGCAAATAACATCATTTGAATGTATTCAATACATGTTTTTTTTAAATTATTATTATTATTATTACAAATTAGAATTTCACAAGGTACTGAGATTATGCTCCAGCTTGGATCCAGCCTCTTATGAAGACTTCAGATGACCCAGCACATTTGAATAGATGAAACCTACCCTTGCAAGGACTCCAGAACATCAAACATGAATGATTATACAAAATGATCTATTTATAATTGCTTTAACACATTAATTTTGCTTAGATGCATATATGATATTTGTAAATACTATAATTTGTGGTATCTTATAACTGTACTTTCTGATATCATCTCATTAAATCCTATTGTGGTTTTGTAACATAGAAACCTGCATTTTCTGTAAAGCTGCCTTGAAATTATATGTATTGTGAAAAGGGTTATACAAATGACTAATTAAATTCAATTGCATTGACTTGAAAGTGCCATTGCATGGTTACTGTACATTAGAAAGATATGGACCCAATCTGACAAAATACAGAAGAGTTATCACATTGTTGGCCTATTTGGTTTTACTGATGTTTTACCCTGTATCTGCTTGAATATAATCATGCACAATTTCACGTTTTACTGTATAAAAAGCCATTGCATTGTTGGCTCAATTGGGGGCTCTATATCTTAGCTGTATTTGATGGAATTTTTTAATTTTGCACTTTAGACAGTGCACAATAAGCCGCCTAATGCATTTTCTGCCCATTCTGCGGCGCTGTTTCTCGGCCGCCTCAGAGGGTGCGTTAAATTTGACATTGTCCCATTAGACTAGAGCTCCTACTCTGACGAAATCCACATTTTGAGCAGTTTTTACTGTAGAATTTTTTTTTAATGAATTTTTTAATTTTGCACTTTAGACAGTGCACAAAAAGCTGCCTAATGCATTTTCTGCCCATTTCGTGGCGCTGTTTCTCGGCCGCCTCAGAGGGTGCGTTAAATTTGACAAAGTCCCATTAGACTAGAGCTCCTACTCTGACGAAATCCACATTTTGAGGAGTTTTTACTGTAGAATTTTTGTTTAATTAATTTTTAAATTTAGCACTTTAGACAGTGCACAATAAGCTACCTAATGCATTTTCTGCCCATTTCGTGGCGCTGTTTCTCGGCCGCCTCAGAGGGTGCGTTAAATTTGACAAAGTCCCATTAGACTAGAGCTCCTACTCTAACGAAATCCAAATTTTGAGCAGTTTTTACTGTAGAATTTTATTTTAATGAATTTTTGAATTTTGCTTTTTACAGTGCACAATAAGCTGCCTAATGCATTTTCTGCCCATTCTGCGGCGCTGTTTCTCGGCTGCCTCAGAGGGTGCGTTAAATTTGACATTGTCCCATTAGACTAGAGCTCGAACTCTGACGAAATCCACATTTTTAGCAGTTTTTACTGTAGAATTTTTTTTTAATGAATTTTTGAATTTTGTACTTTAGACAGTGCACAATAAGCCGCCTAATGCATTTCTGCCCATTTCGTGGCGCTGTTTCTCGGCCGCCTCAGAGGGTGCGTTAAATTTGACATTGTCCCATTAGACTAGAGCTCGAACTCTGACGAAATCCACATTTTTAGCAGTTTTTACTGTAGATTTTTTTTTTAATGAATTTTTGAATTTTGTACTTTAGACAGTGCACAATAAGCCGCCTAATGCATTTCTGCCCATTTCGTGGCGCTGTTTCTCGGCCGCCTCAGAGGGTGCGTTAAATTTGACATTGTCCCATTAGACTAGAGCTCCTACTCTGACGAAATCCACATTTTGAGCAGTTTTTACTGTAGAATTTTTTTTTAATGAATTTTTGAATTTTGCACTTTAGACAGTGCACAATAAGCTGCCTAATGCATTTTCTGCCCATTTCGTGGCGCTGTTTCTCAGCCGCCTCAGAGGGTGCGTTAAATTTGACAAAGTCCCATTAGACTAGAGCTCCTACTCTGACGAAATCCACATTTTGAGCAGTTTTTACTGTAGAATGTTTTTTTAATGAATTTTTGAATTTTGCACTTTAGACAGTGCACAATAAGCTGCCTAATGCATTTTCTGCCCATTTCGTGGCGCTGTTTCTCGGCCGCCTCAGAGGGTGCGTTAAATTTGACAAAGTCCCATTAGACTAGAGCTCCTACTCTAACGAAATCCAAATTTTGAGCAGTTTTTACTGTAGATTTTTTTTTTAATGATTTTTTTGAAGTTTGGTTTTTACAGTGCACAATAAGCCGCCTAATACATTTTCTGCCCATTTCGTGGCGCTGTTTCTCGGCCGCCTCAGAGGGTGCGTTAAATTTGACAAAGTCCCATTAGACTAGAGCTCCTACTCTGACGAAATCCACATTTTGAGGAGTTTTTACTGTAGAATTTTTGTTTAATTAATTTTTAAATTTTGCACTTTAGACAGTGCACAATAAGCTGCCTAATGCATTTTCTGCCCATTTCGTGGCGCTGTTTCTCGGCCGCCTCAGAGGGTGCGTTAAATTTGACAAAGTCCCATTAGACTAGAGCTCCTACTCTAATGAAATCCAAATTTTGAGCAGTTTTTACTGTAGAATTTTATTTTAATGAATTTTTGAATTTTGCTTTTTACAGTGCACAATAAGCTGCCTAATGCATTTTCTGCCCATTCTGCGGCGCTGTTTCTCGGCTGCCTCAGAGGGTGCGTTAAATTTGACATTGTCCCATTAGACTAAAGCTCCTACTCTGACGAAATCCACATTTTGAGCAGTTTTTACTGTAGTATTTTTTTTTAATGAATTTTTGAATTTTGCACTTAAGACAGTGCACAATAAGCCGCCTAATGCATTTCTGCCCATTTCGTGGCGCTGTTTCTCGGCCGCCTCAGAGGGTGCGTTAAATTTGACATTGTCCCATTAGACTAGAGCTCGAACTCTGACGAAATCCACATTTTTAGCAGTTTTTACTGTAGATTTTTTTTTTTATGAATTTTTGAATTTTGTACTTTAGACAGTGCACAATAAGCCGCCTAATGCATTTCTGCCCATTTCGTGGCGCTGTTTCTCGGCCGCCTCAGAGGGTGCGTTAAATTTGACATTGTCCCATTAGACTAGAGCTCCT